TCATTAGTTTATTTCATTTGCTTGGTTTTTGGTTCCAAACTAGTATACCGTGTGGAAAAAGCTTCATCTCCATGTTGACTGACTCATTCAATTCCAACGTCTTGGCTCCTTTATATACTAATTGAAGAGGTAGAATTCAGCATCCTTTTCATTGATTAAGAAAATGGTTAGCCGTCTAAGCACAGGCAAGAGCTGGTACAAACATTTCCAGTATGAAGAAGGCAGAGACAAGCCTAGCGATGTCGGGAACGTCATGTTAGTAGTTGCAACCCTCATAGCTGCCGTTACCTTCCAAGCTGGGGTCAACCCTCCTGGTGGGGTGTGGCAAGATAATGAGCATGGACATGTTGCAGGCAGAGCTATTTATGCATCTCAGGCACCAGCCTACTATGTTTTCTTAATTGCAAACACTCTGGCTCTTCCCGCCGCGATACTTGTCATCATCTCTCTTACCTACAGGTTCCCTTTCCATCTCGAAGTCATCGTTGCCACAATTTCGATGATCGTGACATACGGTTCTGCAGTTTTCGCTGTTACTCCCGATGAATCCGTGAGGTTTTGGTACATCATGGCTGCAGCTGCTGTGCCTTTTGTAATACGGTCTTTGATTCAGCTCTTCAACATAGTATTCAGAAGAGAGTGAAAGATCACTGGTGTTTTCCCTGGCAGGAGCCCAAATCGCCTTCAGGCTTACTAGTTATCAACAAATATCTGTGCAACCTATGAGAGAGACTTAGTGAATTGATTTTATTAATACAGAATGCAATTAACAACTAAATTTTATTATATTCTCGAGATTTATCTACTGTCTTGAAAACATCTGTTTGATCTTCTTACAGCCTACAGCATGTGGCTGGCTACGTTTCTCAAGTCAATGGTCTTGATTGCGTTTTCTATTTCCCACTTGCTGCCCTAACTCCTACCAATCAATCATTGTTGTCCTTGGATGACTTTTGGGAGAGTGGAGAATTGGTCGGATGAATTAATTTCTCTTAGCAGAGAAAACCCACCACTGTTTGTGGAGTACGTTATTATCAATAATTCCACTCAAAATCATTAAATTACTTTCCCCTGCTTTGAAACAACAAAAATATACAAAGTGAAAGTGTGAATGTAAATCAAAATCATTAGTTAATATGCCAGTGTTTTCTTTTCCTTCCCAATTTTTTTTTGTCCCGAGTGCTTCTAATAATGCAATACACATGAACAATACTAATACTACTATAATTTAGTTTTATTTGTAATACAGATCATAAATATGGAGCATTAATTGATTCTAAAAAAATTATGAAGCATTAATTAATCACTATTTTGTAAAAAGAATCTTTATTCATGTGAAATAATTAATATTTTAATTATTTGGAAAAGTTTAAAGAATAAGGACTTCCAAGAATAATAATTGTTTTTATAAAAGAATGAATTAAATATTAAAATAACTATTTATCAATTATTTTTTTGGTAAGAACACGAATCGCCTCTAAGTTTATTAGTTATCAACAAATATTCAAATGTATCAAAATTGTAATGAGATAATTTTTTCATATACCGATGAATGTTAATAAATTGATTTTGTTCGAATATAATATAGTAAATTATTATTATATTTTATTATATTTTTTAAAATTTATTAATTGTAAATTCTTACATATTTACAATGACACAAATAAAACTTTAAAATTTTTTTTAATATTTTCGATTTTCTAATCCTATGTTGTGTAGCAAGAACCGTTTATAGTACAAAGGCATTTGCTTCAATATTCGCTTCATCTGCTTACAGCCCATAGCATTTCGCTGGCTTAGTTTCGTAAGTCAATGGTTTTGAGTTGCTGACTTTTGGTAAAGAGGAGGATCGGTTCGGTTTATTAACCTCTCTTACATGAGAACCAATCATTATATTTATTCATACTTTCATGATCCATACAGTCTTGTAAAATATTATTCATTTTAGTCTCATTAAGATATACAATTTGATCTACATCAATATGTAAATCACAAGTTAAAGATCATGTAAATATTTAAATATTTAATCTCATTTTAATATATACTGATATAAAAGTTATGATTTTTATATAAAATTTTGACACATAAGTTATGAGAAGAGAGTGTAAACCTGAACTAAGTTCATTTGTTAGAATGGTAGTGTTTTTTTTTTCTTGTTAATTTTTTTTTCTATTTGATTTTCTCTAATAATGCAAGACACATTAACAATTAACACTACTACTATAATTAAGTTTTCTTTTATTTGTAATAGAGATTGTAAATGGAAGCATTAATTACTCAAAACTTCGTAAAAGGAATCGTAATCTTTGTGAAATAGTTAATATTTGAATTCTTCAAAAATTTCAAAGATTAGAAACTTTGAAGAATAATTTTTTTTTTATAAAAGAATGAATGAAATATTAGAACAGCTATTCGTCAAATATGGCCGGAATGAAATGATCCTTCTAATGAACCAAAAAGGAGTAACATGGAATTGCAGAAATAAAGATAAGAATACGATTTAAACTCAAAGAAAGACTAACATAATAGATTAAAAACGACATATGGTTACAGTAAAATCACAGTGGATTTCATTTCTTTCTTCAAAAGCAAATCATGATATGTTTTTGCTAAGCAAAAGAAAAGAATAATCAAGGACATCTTTTGACATCAAAATGAAGTATATTATGACAAAAAATCCTTCGACTAAAGCAATGAATCTGGAGGGCAAGGAAAGAGACGCGGCTTCATGCAATGAACACAAACCCTTAATGGAATCAAAACTAACCCTGGCTTGGCTTCCAAAGGAAAATCCATCCTGCAATGCTGAGATAAGATGAAGCCTCCCAAAGAGACCTCATGGCTTCTATTCTTTCTCATGAAAATCTAAGGTTATTCTTCGATCTTTTGGTGACGTGTGGAGAGTTTAGACCATTCAAATCTTTCAGATTTTCTAAGTTACCTTCTATGCTGCTTTCCAGGTTTCAAAGGTAAATTAGTAGTAAAAAGCAGATAGTACTTTCTCTTTTGATTTTATTGCTTGCCAGTATACATGCACATAGGATCAAATTCCATTCCCGGTGACGAATTCTATCACCTTAAATATACTATAACATGTCCCAAGAAAACTCAAAGCTCACACTACATTTTGTCACATTGGTAAGGGCAACAAGATCAAGTAGAAACGGAACCAAGATTGTTCGAAGCATCTTGTTCTGGAGATATTTCTGCATTTCACTCATTTCTCGGGGAAGATCTATTTCTGCTTGATCGAGTTGCCTTAAACTCTGTTGATAATCCTCTACACATATCAGCAATGGTAGGACAAACAGAAATCACAAAAGAAATTGTGGGCAGAAAGCCAGGATTCGCTAGGGAGCTAAATGAAAATGGTTTTGGCCCCATGCATATCGCTTCGGCAAAAGGGCACGTTGAAATTATAAGAGAGCTTATGAGAGTTGGATATGACATATGTCTTTTGAAGGGAAAAGATGGTAAGGTTCCACTTCATTGCGCGGTTTTGAAAGGAAGAGTTGATGTTGTTAAGGAACTGGTCGGGGCTTGCCCCGAGTCTGTTAAAGAACCGACTGCTTTTGGTGAAACTGCCCTTCATTTGGCTGTGAAGAGCAACCAGATTGAGGCTGCAAGGGTACTGATCGAGGAGATGAGTATGTTAGTTATGACGGAAATTTTGAATTGGAAAGACAAGGATGGGAACACCATATTACATCAGGCAACTTTCAACAGACAACATGAGGCAAGTATTGCAGTTCTTCCTGCTAGTTAATTACTTAATCTTTTCTTATTTATTTGTTTTTCTTCTTTTTCAGTCTATTATATTCGAAGTATAAGTCCAAGCAGATGCGCTACTAAATCCTGGTTTTGGTCACGGTGGAGTCCAAAGCATGTTATTCTAATTAAATTCTGTTCAATTCTTTGGCTACTCTAAAAATTCAGATTGTACTGATTGCGTTGTTGGTTTTCTTTCCAGAAGTTGTAAATTATGAATATATATACACTCCAAATGCCCTCTTCAATCAAAAAGCAGTTGGAAAATATTCAAAGAAATTTCCTATGGTCTGGAAATTCAGATAAGAAGAAAATTCACTGCATCAACTGGGACTTAGTCTGCAAGCTTAAATGCCAAGGTTGGAAAATTCACTACATCAACATGAATATATATTAGCATCGTTTAGCAACGATCACATACCAAGCAATTCTGAGCCTTCCAAGTTGTTTTTGGTCAGACCCAGATAATAAAAACCTTCCGACGAGCAGCACCGTTCAGAAGAGAACCATGGAGCCTGGAGAGGCTGTCATGAGTAACGACCCTCCAATCTTTTCTGCGTTCATCGTTTTTAATACAATTGGTTTCATTGCATCAGTTGCCGTGATATTACTCCTCACCAGTGGATTCCCTCTCCGGGCAGGCTTGCGGCTGGCTATGTTTTCAATGATTGGTACTGACGTCGTAGCTATAATCTATATAGGTCCAACAAAAATGACTGATATATATATATATAACGGTCATTGTGATGGGAATACTATATCTTGTGGAGTTTGCACGGTTTACCGTGTGGTTGATCAAGATGTGGAGAGTTGGTTCAGATATAAGGAGAAAGCATTAGAGACGAACGGACATCAAATTCACAATGTGGCTTCTCTTTGTACCATGAATCCATTCAGTAACTTAGAATTTTACTCCTCTACCGATTGTTGTCATAATAACTTGTTGTTTATTTTTAAAACTTAGAAATTTATTTGGTTTTTATTCAAGTGTTGTTCTTTCCTACATGAATTTTCTGTATCCTATTACTAGAATTATTTGAGTTATTGATTTCAATTGATATTGAGGTTGAAATAATGCTGATTGGAATTTGCAGTTGATCTGTTTAGAATAATAGATTTAAATAAACATTTATGTTATCTTCAATTATGAATAAAATGATCAATGTTATTAAAAATTTTGTATTTTTTTAATTATATGACTGATACTTACATGATATTTGTATTTTTTTAATATTTTCAAATTTTCAATCTTGTTTTCTAACGAAAACAGTTTAAGATATAATAATATTATATTTAATTGAACAAATAATGATAATAACACATTTAAAACCCAGATAAAGGCTAATATAATAGATTAAAATATGCATATAGTAGTAAATGACAACAGATTTAATTTCTTTTTTCCAAAAGCAGAACATAATCGAGGACATCTTCTGAGAGCCAAAATGAACTATATTATTGAAAAAAAATCATTAAACTAAATAAATGACAACTTGGACAGCAAGGAAAAGACATAAGATGAAGAAAACCATCATGCAAGGCTGACATAAGATCAAGCTCTTGCAAGAAAACTCATGGCTGACATAAGCTCAAATACGTAATTCAAAATCGGACAACACAGCTCTCCTTGTGAAAACAAGGGCTCAGCTCATTATCCACTACAAAATCCAGACATTTCCTTCCAAAAATGGCTTTTGTCTCATCTTATGGATTACTGATAACAATGATTTAGATATATATGAAGAATGACGCTTTAAGTCAAGGTCGTCATGCAGGTTTCCAGTAGATCCCTAACAATAATTGAAACCAATATACTTGAGATTTTGAGTAAACTAATATGTACTTTGTTAGTAACATTATGCAACAATTCGGTAACATAAGATTATCGAAATGTTAGATATGCAGTTATTTAAATAATATATAGTTTTATAGCCTAATAAGCCTTTTAAGTATATTGATAATAACCTTTAATCAGTATTCAGTGATGCAGTTTTGCTGAAATTTTAGATACAGAGACTTACTAAAATATGAAATACATATGGAAAAATACTAATCATATAGATACATCATGGCAGTGGAAGTGGAGGTGCCTATCAGGTTTTGTCCTAAATAACAACATTGACAAGGTTGGAAAACACTAAATTGGTTAATTAACAAACTGACTGCTCATAATCAAAGTCGTTGTCATTGTCGCAAGCTGAGAGGGAATCTACTTTTTCATTTTCATTTTTGTCCTAACATAATCATGCAAATAGAGAGAAAGAACAGTGAATTTTCTTCATGTTTGTCAGGCGATTGGTACTGTTGCGAACTGTCATTGTAAATTGATGGTTCGGGTGACTATAAAAGCTGAATTAAGCTTCACCCAAACCCCAAGCTTTTCTGGAGAAATCCATCGGTTCTTCATATCCCCATAGACAAAGAGCTTCTTCAATTCTTGAATTCTGTTTGTAGTTCAAAACCAAAGAGAAAAAAAATGGTTGGGACTGCTTTCAGTGACTGGTGCCGTTATTTTCAGTACAAGGAAGGTGAAAAAGAGGAGAATAAGGAGAAGAATAGAGCCGACGCCCGCAACGCTCTCTTGGTAGTCGCCACCCTAATAGCTGCCGTGACCTTCCAAGCTGGGGTTAACCCCCCTGGCGGTGTATGGCAGGAAACCAAGGAAGGCCATACAGCAGGCACTGCTATCTGTGAATCTGAATCATCAGCCTACTACGTTTTCTTGACTGCCAACACCCTGGCCTTTTCTGCAGCGGTACTTGTCATTATGTCTCTCACGCATAATTTTCCTTTCAAGTTTGAAGTAAGGGTTGCTTGCGTTTCAATGATTATAACTTATGGATCTGCGATCTTTGCTGTTACTCCGCATGAGGAAACGTTTCAACTCGCCTTGATTACAGCAGCAGCGCCTTTAGCTATGCGGTGCTTGATCCAGCTGTTGGTGAAGTTGAAAAACAGGGAACCTGAGCCTCCATGTTTGATCCAGGCATTTTCCAGGCCTAGAAACAAGACAGCAGAGACCCCGAAAGATCAGACCCCGCAAGCACAACCTTAGGTGGATGGAGAAAAACAATGAACGTAGGCAGACACTGGCAAATTCCTAGAATTTGGAGCCTGAACAATTTAGAACTCATGCTGTTTATATATGTTATAGTATGTGACATAGGGTATGTGTCCAAAATTAATACTGGTACTTGGGAGTTTCATTAAGTTTGTATAATTAGTAAATAAAGTGTGTGATTTGTTGTGTACCAAATAAATAAAATGTGTGCTTTGCCTATTTCAACCAAATAAAAAGTGTGCATTAAATATTACAAAGTCCTGATAGCAACGATCACATGCGAAGCAATTCTGAGCCCTACTCCATTGTCCTCCTCGGGCTCATCTATCACCCGGCCCTTCTCCCTCCTCCTCATCGCTCACGGGCTTCCCCATACTTTGACCTTGTATCACCTTCTTCGAGCCCTAATTCTCCTTTCTATTGTCATTTTCAATCCAATAATTTTAAACTGAACACTACAATTCAACCTTTTTAATAATTACATTTCTTATAATTATTATTTTTTATATTATATAAAATGTTATAAAATTATATTTTAAAAATCATATACATAATAATAGTATTTCTAATAAAATATCAATCGTGACCTTAATGATATCATCCCCGGCTTGGACTGGTCATGTAAAGCTGACATTCGAGGCTCCCCCGAAGACAAACACATGGCTGACGTAAGCTCCAGCACGCTGTTCAAGAAACAAATTAACTAAAGAGACCCAGAAGTTCTAAGTCGGACAACCTTCCGTAGAACAGGGGCTCATCATCCACTCCGAATATTTCCCTTCAAAAAAGCCTTTTAGTCATCTTATGGATTACTATGCCTATGCCTGAGATTGAAGAATGGCGTTTAAGTCAAGTTCAAGCATATTTCCAGTATTCTCATATGCTAACAATAATTGAAATAGAAAAAATTGTGAAGAATAATTTTTTTAATAATAAAATTTTAAAAATAATTATTAAAATAAATTTAATTATTTTTAGTTATATTTAGTTATCATTTAATAAAAATATTTTTAAAATTATTTTAAATAAATTAAATTATTTATCATAATTTCTTTTTATATTTATTTACGTTTTCAATTTTCTTCTCTCACCATCTAGATCTTTTTAATTTCATCCATTTTTCTCTTCGATATCTGTTACTATGCTCTCGATTTCTCTCTCTCTCTCTCTCGTATTTTTAGTTCAAAAAGCAATGGTTTTAATGTACTTAGAATGGGTGATTATTTAAGAAATTTAATTTTTAGATATTTTAAATAAAATTAAAATGATAAAAATAATTATAAATGTTTAAAATAGCTTTGAATTTGATCAATTTTAGATTTAGACACCAATAAACTCAAAATTTTAAAATTTATAAATTTAAGGTTTCAATTTTTTTTATTTTTAGTAGAAACAGGTGTTTAAAATAAAGAAAATTATTTTTTGATTTATGAAAATATGTTAGAAATATTTTAATTGGTGACAAATTGTCAAAAGAAAATTAAGTAAATTTGAAATTTTAATTTATAAGTAACAACAACATTTTATACATTAAAATGTAATAAAAATTTTTTTAACATAGTGTGTAACAATAATATTTTTTTAACATGAGGTGTAACAATAATATTTTTTTCAATATCGTGTGTAAGATATTTTTATACATGACGTATAATAATAATATTTTTTTTCAATATGACGTGTAACTTATTTTTATATATAACATGTAACAATAATATTTTTCTTAAACATGGCATATAACAACTTTTTTTAACTATGATATGTAATATATTTTTGTACATGACCAATAACAATAACATTTTTAAAATATGACGTGTAACATTACATGCACTTGAATATAGAAATATTTCGGTAATTTTATCTAACTTGACTAAAAATAATTAAAATTATAAAAAAAGTTATTTTTGAAAATATCTTATATTTGAAGGTTATTTTTTAAA